ATATTATAAGAGCTGTGAGAATAGATACAAGAGAAAAACCTATAACATTTGAAAGAGTAGAAAAGATATCCCAGCAAGATGAAGAATTAATAAGAATTATAGCTTGTTTAAAAGGAGATATAGAATGGAAAAATGAAGATAAAGCGTTTAAAAAATTAAGAGTGAATTAAATATAGAAAACAATTGTTTATTGAGAGAATATAGATTAGTGATACCGAATAAATTAAGAAAGGAAACCTTAAATGCAATACATTCAGGTCATCAAGGCATAGAAAGAATGAAGAATAAAGCAAGAGAATATATGTGGTGGCCTAAGATGAATAAGGAAATAGAAGAGTTAGCAAGGAGCTGTGAAACTTGTAACATGTGGGCTAATGTTCCAGAAAAGAATAAAGAAGATAAATGGCCAAAGACAGACATTCCATGCGAAAGAATACATGTAGATTTTTTAGAATATGAGAAGAAAAGATATTTTATCATGGTAGATGCAGGTTCAAAATGGATAGATTGTCAACAAGTTTCAGGTTTATCAACAAGGGTAGCTTTAGACAAGATAAAGGATTTTGTAGGCAAATATGGATTAATGAAGACGATAGTATCAGATGGAGGTCCAGCTTTTAAAGGAAGAGCATTTGATAAATTTTGTGATAGGTGGAATATTAGACATTTATTATCACCACCTTATTACCCAAGAAGCAATGGACAATCTGAGCGAATGGTAGCGTTAGTAAAGAGTTGGTTAAAAAAGGAAAAATATGGAGAAGGCCAATGGTGGTTATCATTGTTAGCATACAACAGCAAAAGGAAAGTCACCAGCTGAAATATTTTTAGGAAGAAAGACGAGATCAGAATTAGATTTTTTAAAGGAAAAAGTGATAAGGGGAGAACAAGTAGAAATTGAAAGATTTCCAGTAGGAAGTTTGGTTTGGGTATTGTTGGTTGATGGGCCTATTAAATGGGGGAAGGGTGTAATAAGCAAAAATATAGGAAAGAAAAAAGTAGAAGTAAAGATTGAAGGACAAGAAGGAACCTTTACAAGGCACCTGAAGCAAGTAAGGTGTAGAAGCTTAGGGCCTTAGAGAGAAATGAGAAATATACGAAGAATTAGAAAAAAATAAATTGATGATAGACATAGTAGGAGAATCATAATTTAGAAAAGAATAAATTGGTGATAGACATAGTAGGAGAATCATAATTTAGAAAGGAATAAATTGATGATAGACATAGTAGGAGAATCATACGTTGTAGGAGATAAAAGGGATGATAACTTAATTATGAGATTTATATTTTATAAAGAGTTAAGAAGAAATTAAAATGTAGTATGGAGAAATAGGAGTTAGAAGAATATATATATATGTTTATAAAGTATTTTATTTAGATGGCCTCGTATATCAGAGTTGGTAACAAAATAATAAGGATAGAAATAAGAGACGTAGATGGTTCGGAAGAATCGAACAGATGGGTAGAAGCAGCAAGGAACGAGGCGAGACAAAGATACGGGGATTGGCTACAAGAAGCGCCAACGAGAGGGGGTCGCAGAACAGCACCGTATGGCACAAGAAGGAGAGTGGAATGCTGGGCGTGCGGGGGTGAACACAAACTACGGTTTTGCCCAAGTATGGAGTTGACCACGAATAGTAATTCGAGTGCACCAGGGAGGAACATGGTAGCATCGGCGAACACGATGGAGTTAAGGGAGAATTAAAGGGGGGAGATGTTGTATTATGCAAATTTAGTTAAAAGATAGTTGTACTTATATTTGTTATATGCAAAATAAATTTTACATTTTTTTATAGTTTATGGAATAAAATTAATTTAAATGATGGATTTTTATTTTATGTGTTTATTTCTTCGAAAAATTATTATCTTAATATGCAAATACTTATGATTTTTAATGGCTATCAAAAAATATATAAATAGCCAAGAAAAATAATTATAATTCACCCGATGATATTTTGATTATTAATTTAATAAAAGAATTGACCGATGATGTTTTGATTATTAATTTAATAAAAGAATTTACAGACGATATTTTGATTATTAATTTTATAAAAGAATTTACAGACGATATTTTGACTATTATTTGGATTTGATAGAAGTTGAATAAAGAGTAAAAGTAGTGAATTAGTATTAGAAATTAATAAAAATTATATATTTATTAATTTATTATTAGTTCCATAGATATTCAGTCTCTCCCACTAGCCTCAGCAATATAAATATCAATTCCATATTGGTACACTTAGATTTGAATAATTTATAGTTACAATTTTGTACTAAAAAAAATTACTTGCAAAATATAATTTATTGTAAAAATGGTTAGATTTTTCTTTTCTAAGACTCCTTTTAAACACTTTTATTATCTTTTCACTCTGTTCTAAGAAATAAATTTTTTATATTCTCCGCCTGGGTGGAGATTTCCAAAAAAAGAGAAACTAATTACAATCACAATTATTTTTAATGATAATTTTTAAAATGATTGAATTACACGAATTGAATCAACATGAGAATTTATAAAAATTTTAAAGCATATATAGAATTTGTTCAAAGAAATTCAAGATTGTTCTTCATTTTTAATCATCAATCGTGTAAGAAGTGATTACTTGATTGCCAAGAAAATAATTTTTAAGCATAAATCTAAAAGGTTTTCCAAGTAGCAAATCTTCTTTGGCTTAAAGTTACATTTCTCTGTTTTATATTTCTAAATTTGTTTTATATATGGTTTTTCTCATAAGAAAAATAATATTCATTTCTGTGGAAGATTTGATACCAGCTAAAATTAAAAAAAGGGGAATAATTTTATTAAGACTTTTTCCGACTAAATGATCAAGAGTTCACAAATGAATAGCTTCTTTACTTATTGGAGATTGCTTTTTTTTTCCAGTTAAATATCTCATACTATTTTTATTACAACGGTCTGGCCTTTGGGGTAGGTTTTACAATTTATTACAGGAGTAGGCTAGGGGAAGGATATATTTATTGGAGGGTTATCTATTATATTTTTTAATGAAATAGGGCAAAATATATTACTGTAAAGGATTCTTTAATACTTTTATTATAGACTTATTATAATACAATATTGAACATCGACCAAATCTATATATTGTATAATTATCTGATCTTTTTTTAATGTATTAAAAGGGTTAGACATTCTATCAGCAAACTCATATTCATGCCAAACGCATAGTATTCATTGCAATCGAGAGGGTTTTAATTAAAAAATAACTTTTACTGGCAATTTTTTGGTAATTGGTAGTAGATTATTGAAAATTTATATAATTCTTTTTAAAATATATGAAATACCATTATAATTAAAAACGTGTAATTAACTGCCAAAGGTGGTGAATTTTTTAGGGGGTATAGGTTTTTGAAAGGGGTTTGCTTTCAGTGAATTACCTGACATTTAGACATTGAACACAGCCCTATAAAAAATATAATTTATTTGTAAATATCAGTGGTATTCTTAGCAAAAAATAGTTAACTCAAGGCTGAACCCAAACTGCAAAACCAATATAATTTTTTGAACCATAAACATAAAAATTCTTAAAAGGAGAAAACTAAATTGTTATAAATATGTGTATAAAATTATATATATTTATCTTAAAAAATTTGCCTAAAAAAATATATATTAAAGATATTTAATGTGACTATGTTATTTTCAATTTGTAATTCCTTATCATGTTTTAAAATGAAATTGAAATTGTTTTCTTTAGTTTTATTAGATTATAATGGGTCAAAAAAAAGAATAAACTAACATAAATTAGTTCAAAAATAATCAGAATGGAGGTAAACTAATAACTAGAATGGGCTCAACTGAAATTAACAATTCAAGATCCATCGCAAAGCATAAATGCTCGATTTGGAAGTACTATAATTTTTACAAATAGATAAAAAAAATTAAATAGGCTCTGAATTTTTCCTCTCATTTTATTGTAATATATGATTTTCTAAATAAAGATGTAAATAATTATTTAGCAATTAAATTAAAATGTGATTGAATTTCAAAAAAATTTAATTTAATTGGGATCTTCAGAAATACACCAATAACATTTTTTAACCAATACCAAGAGGTGACTAAAATTTTGTATTTTGTTATATATTAATATAAATTTATTTGAATGCCTAATGATAAAGATAATGATAACTATATAATATAATTCATATGTAAGATTTGATTTCTTTAGTGCCCTTAATTCAAAATATATTATTCTTTCATTCATTATTTCCTTTGTTAGATTTAAATACCAGGTCTCCGAAAATCAGATTTTTTTTTCTATTTTTACCTTCAACTTAGTCATATCCTGTTTATCTCCTTTTTACATATGCAAACCAATGTAAGTTACTTTCCCATCTTAGCCTAAATAGGAATCATTAAAGTTTTCCTATTGATGTCACCCACACCCACTTATTCTCTCATTATTGATACACTCATAATCGTTTCCTCTACTTTTCTCATAGCCCATAATTCAACCCTATTAAAGCCATCAGCAATGTGCATATCTTGCCTTTAAATTTGATCATATCTTTTTTTATAAGATTCTACCCATTTAATTCTTTCATCCAAATTCTGATTTAATTTGCCATCACTTACAAAGTTGACCCTATAACCAGTTTCAAATCCCTTACTCAAAGGCAACATTCTAAATAGATCAAATTTAAATACATGTAAGTTGTTTTCATTCTCCTTCCAAATTTCTCTACTCCATAAACCTCGATACAACCTAACATTAACTTTCAAATCTGCTTTTAATTATAGTTACATTAATATATACTAGATATATATATATACTGGATTCAGAAGTCAAATCATTCATTAAAAAAATTGTATTAATAGCTATTTACATTTAACCCCAATAAGGAAAAAATGGATGAAAAAAATAAAAATTGTATCAGTAATCTGCCAATACTCAGTATTAGTTAAATAATAAAGTTAATAACAAAAAAATAAATAAAAGCCATCATATTTAAATATATTGACCTAAACGTGAATTATTATATATTACTTCAGACAGAGGGGATGAATTTATTTTGAATAATTTTATGTCTATATTTAATTTTTCATTTTTATCTATTATATATTAAATAAATAAAAATCAATATTTGAATTACTGTCGCCCTTGTATTGTAGCGATTGTTTAAGAGTATTTTTTTTATTTTCGCTCACATATTTCAAAGCTCTATTATTTGTGTTAGGTTTATTAATAAATTGTCCCATTAATAAAATTCTGACTCGAGATCTTTTAAATATTAGGTTTATATGCATATAAGCTAAAATGGTTGGCAACATCTGCTAGGATCTCGATTCATAATATTTTAAACTGAGGAAAGTTTTTAATTGGGAAATTTTATGCAATGTAACATTTTAAATATACTATTATAGATGTAAAATAAGACAGTGTTGAACCAATGGCATTTGGATAAAAGCTCATTATTTTGAGAAATATAGTGCACTTTTTGAGGGTTGCTTTTCATGTTTTTTTATATAAAATTATGTGTAAATTTATAAGATAAAATAAGACAAAAAATATAATTAAGTTTAAAATAATGTTAAATATTTTTCTTTAGGATTTAATTCATAGTGGCGCGATTGCGATTTAGACGCGATAAATATAAAATACAGTAAATATGATATCGCATTCATAGTTACCGATCGCGCGATTTGATACGCGAAAGCAAATCGCCGCGATTCTTTCAAAAGATTTTGAAATAGTGCTTCGTTAAATACAGATTTTGGTGAATATAGCTCAAAATTTTTGATTTTACGCTACTTTTAAATTTAGCGCTAATTTTTTATTAATTGAAATGAATTCAATGACAACCTTTTTTGATGATATAAAACCAAAGGATCAAGTTAAAATTATGATTTAAATTTAATTTTTTTTATAAAATAGATAAATTAGCTTTTATAGATGCAAATGATATATTTAATGAAATAACAGGAGGTATACATGAATGTAAAATATAGCATTTTAATTATAAAATATATTTATTATTTAGGTGATCTCATTTATAGTGAGAATTTATCAGATGATATATTTATTCCCAAAGATTCTGCAGCACTAAATCTTAGTAATGATTCTGGTAATTAATAATATCTAAAATTTATATTATCTTTTATATAGAATCTATGTCCTATGTTGGGTCACCTAGTTATTATTATAAATGTCCTAAGAGAAAGAACAATGATATGGGTAATTTATATTTATTGATAAATTTTAAATAGATGACTATAGGAAATTAATGAAAATTAGAATATAAAGCATTAATAACCTTGGAAATGCTTAAAAATAAATCAACAGAACGTGCAATATGTTTAATGTTAAAAGAAAAATTAGATGATTGTACCAAAGAGGAAAAAAAAGAAATAACAAATAAAATAGTGATATTATAAAAGATTATTGATTAAAATTATTTTGTATATATTTTTGTTATTTGAAATATTTTGTATGTATTTATATTATTTGAAATAAACATTTTGTGAAATACATTGAATGATATAATTATTCCCAAAAGTCCTGCATTAATTAAGTCTTGTACTGAGTTTGGCAATTAATAATATCTAAATATATATAATTTATAATGAATGATCTTTATCTTAGAGAAAGTTTAATGACATTGGTAATTTATGTTAACTTGCTTTATAAAAATATTTTCAATAGATGAATTTAGAACAACTATATAGCTTTTTTAGTGACATATTCCTACATATATATTTTATGAGTTTAGACTATATTAATAATAACTTTATTTTTTATTATAATATATATAAAATACAAAACAAGATATTTATAAAAGTTAGGTGATTGTACCAATCAGGAAAAAAAAGAAATAACAACTTGAATACTTGATATTATAAAAGATTATTGATTAAAATTATTTTTGTTATTTGAAACTATATTAATAATAACTTTATTTTTATTATAATATATATAAAATACAAAACAAGGTATTTATATAAAATACAAAACAAGATATTTATATAACATACAAAATAAGATGATTAAATTTATAAAAATCTATAATATAGGATTTTTATATAAATATAAGCATAATCATGGAATGAATCAGAATAGCAGTGTTGATTTACTACTTTATGGATCTTATGTTGCTAAATACCTAAATAATAAATATATTTAAATACTAAATTGCTTTATTTTTACCTTAAACAAACCATAAGCTTTTCTTCAACACTTATAGGATGTTTTATAAAATTGGTACATTTGGTATGTAATAAAGGTTTTACAAGTTTGAGTATATAATAAAAGGTTTCCTAAATTAAAATGAATTATAGATAAAATAGAATAAAATTACTTTAGTCATTCTCATATAGTTGAAAAATTTAGACTCATTTTTTAATAGTTTAGGAAAGAGGACATAAAATTCGCCCTCTTTTGTTTTATTAAAAGATAGTATCTTCTCTTCAAGATCATTCTGTAAAAAAATAATAATTTGAGGATGGACATCATTTTAAATTAATAACGCTTTGCACTGCACTATAATGAAAATCGCTGCGATATCGCGGCGAAATCGCAATCGCTCTTCACTATGAATCAGGGTAAAGAATTGAAGAAAAAAGGAGTTAGGGAAATTTTATCGTTTCCTCTTTTTATTTTGATTTTGTAAATAAGAATATAAATAAAGTTACCTTTTAATCATGTATATGTTTACATCTTAAATTGCTATCAAAATGTAAATTACAAAAAACTTTAAATATTACATTTTATTCGTCAATAATCGCTTTTTCTCTGTTTATATATTATGTTATAAATTTTTTGAGTTAATTGATCATTCAACAAAATATAAGTTAATTTTAATATAATAAGATGATTAAAATCGTTTAGATAAGATACAAATTTTAAAACTTTAACATAATATATCTTAAGACATATAAAAAAATTAAAAAAACAAATCGATGACTTCATTAAGAATTATAAAAATAAATTATTATTAATGTTACATTATAATTATATTAAAAATTTCTATCATAATATTAAAACACTAAAAAACATAATATACCATTTCATAATTGTATCCCCAAAAAGGAATTTTAAACTAAAAATTAAGGATCTATAGCGCATTGGTATATATTCATTTTCTAGAATTCATATTAGGTATAATATAGAGTCAGATGGAGTGTAGTGCCATTTTGTGGGTTAAACGTCGACTAATTGTTTTATTCATCATTATATTAGTTTATATTAGTGTTATTTAATAGACATACAAGCAACAAAATGGAGCTACAGCTTATTCCTATGTATAAACACTTTGCAGGGGCGTCGCTAGCCTTTACAATCTCAGGGAGCTCAACTAAAAAAACCTTAATTTGCGGGCTTTCGGCCAGGTTTTATATTAATATATTATACTTTGCTAACTCTAAACAATTATTATGAATTTCATATTTTGTCATTTATTATATTTTGCATACAGAATAAACTAACATATAAAAAATTACAACAATACAAGACATATCTAAAAATAATATTTTTTAATACAAAATCTATTTATTACGGTATAAAATATTTTTGATGATTGATATAAAAAAAATTTGCGTCTAAAGAATTACAAGTGATAAAAAAAGGTTAATTAATTCATACATATGCCTCAAATGATAATGGTTTTTAAAAACTACATATTATAAAATTAGCAACTTACATTGACAAAAGGTCAAGAAACTACTATAACACTCTGTTACCATTTTTAGACAATGTTTTATAGAATGGACTAATAGGGAAAAATTTATAGGCCTAACAAAATCAACAATTCTTGGAGATGAGAACGACCAATCCAAATGATAAAAATACATGGTGGTTAGAGCTTCCTCTTAAATGACATGATGGAAGCTAGATAAGTAATTGAGAAAAAAATTGTGATATTAAATTTATATAAGATTATCTTCCATTTTTAATGATATATAAACAACTACAAAGTTGACCATAATTGCTTATAAAATATGCAATCATTTGCTCTCAGCAGCAGTAGTAATAATCTTAAATTACACAGCAACACAAATAATAGATGCTGGTTAATTTGCAGTAATAGCCATGACACTCACGATATAAACTAATATCAGAATTTATTATGTTGGATAAATTGATAAAATAAAAACACTAAAAATCTTTGGAAGAAATAATTATGCAAATATATTGAAGCATGGAGTTATTTACAAGGTAAGGATGCCATATTAGAAATGAAATATTTTCTAACTATAAAATAAGGACCAGAATGATATGATGAAACAATTAAGATTTAATATATTTTCGCACCACCTTGGTATATTATATCTTAAAATAATAGTAATTTGTAATAATATCAAAAATATACTTGTATTAAAAATTTAACTCAAAACTGTTTTTCAGAAAAAAGAGCTTTCCAAAAAACATGTAAAAAAGAGTAGAAAGGTTATCTAATTTATTACATCCATTCTGGGATAAATAATAAGATATTAAATTTTAAAAAATATTTCTAAATAAATAGATGGCGTTAAATATTTGAAAGCAATTTATTATTATATATTTATTATCAAAAATTTATAAGTTAAATTTATTAAAATATTAACTGTAATATATTATATAACTGTCAAATATGTTTCTAAAAGTGGTATTTAACCTAATATTTTATAACCAATTATATCTAATAGAGGATTACTTACCTTTTATAAATAAATCTCTTATACTTATTTGGATTTGAACCTTGAAAATAATTTTAAGAAGAGGCATAGGCATAGCCAGGATTTTTCTAAGGGGGGAGGGGATTAAAAAATTACCTTCGGCCGGGCACCTTAATATATATATAGTCATAAAATATTTTTAATAGGAGGTTAATTTTAATAAAAAAATAAGCCTGGAATAAATATTAAATATATTTTTATTAGTTTATATAAAATATAATAAATTACTTTTATATACATTAATATAAAAGCATAGTAATAATTTATTCCAAGCAAGTATAAGAAATTTATTTATAAAAAGTAAGTAGACATATAGTTTATATTCCTCTATTTTATAGAATTAGTTACAAAATACTAGGTAAAATTCCACTTTTACAGACATATTTGACAGTTATAGAATATATTACACTTAATATTTTAACAAATTTTACTAGTCAATGCTCTTAATAATAAATATAGCAACAATTTACATTTAATTATTTAACGCCATCTATTTATTTAAATAAAAAATGATATTAAAAATTAATTTTATATTATTCATTCCACAATGTCTTTAAAATATAATTTCGGATGTCCTTATCAATATTTTATAGTTTCTGTGAAATATATAATTCGCTATATTGGTAAAAATTACTTGATTGTCATATGATAATTGATAAAATTAGATATACTGTAAATCTACGACATATAATATTCCACTGTTTGTATTGTGCTTTGATTTTTTTATTTAATTTATGATTTAATTTTATCAATAGTTTTATAATTTTATTTTACTTTTATTATGATAAATAAATTAAAATTACTCACTTTATAAAAAATTATATTTGATATATTATATTATTTAGTAATTTTATGGATCTATTATTAATAATTATAATTCATTTCACTTTTGTCTTAAGACTTATCTTTGGTTTACATTCCATTTCTTAAATAAAATTTTTGGTTCACTTTTTTTATATATATAAATCGTATAAACTGTTCCTACCATTCTGACAATGACATAATTTTAGTTCAAAAAGGTAAATTTCCCTATTTATAGCCGTATTTTTAAAATAATGAGAAAAGTAATCATAATTATTATGTATTTGTTGTTGATAATTTGGAATATCGATTTATGTTATATATCTCAAAATTTAGTTTTATAGTACATGAAAAAAATAATTTGATTACTCTAGTTTTTGAAGGTTGATAGCATGAATTAAACATCTATCGATTTAAATTTATTGATAGTAAGAATTTGATATCCATAGATATAGATTTAGATTCATATGAATACATATAATATTCAAATACTCTATCAAGATTTCTATTAATTAATTCGAAAAGGCAAAATTATATCTCCAATCTCAAATCTTCAACTCTTGAAATATCTAATCATTACATACTCAGGTCTGTGTGGTTTTCGATGAACGAATCGCAAAGATTCATTTAAACAAAATCATAAATGGTTTAGTAAACACATCTTTCATGATTTACTGTTAATGGATTCAGACTTAATTATCTGGAGAAACGTGATTTGGTTTGTTCACTCTAACTCAATTTCCACATAATTGGAGTTTTAACAAAATTATTTAACACCTGTCTTATAAATGCTGGAATATTTTTAACAATTTATTCGAAAAACATTATAACTATGGAGTCACTAAGGATGAGGGGCGCAGAGGTTT